AAGGAACAACGAAAATACCTTCCAACCCGACCACGAAGTATCTAATGTACGATATGTGCGCCAGATGACGATCTTTCCGAACCTCTGTCAAATTCGTCATTAATTCGAACAAATATTCCGAGTATCGCTATGACAGTGAATTTACGAAAATACTTTCTGTGTGAAAGAGGCTCGCGTTTGCATCACGATAAAGTTATACACGGAGCTTACCACTTGCGCGTTCAGGGATTATGATATAAACAGGTTATTCCTGGCCGCAATGACATTGTAATCTACGGCACTTTAGCCGGCTGGCTAGTTTGTCGGTGAAACCGTTTAGAACGCCCATATCACCGATAAGGATAAAAAGGAAGTACTGCAAGCAGTGCATTAGCTGCTCTCACGTAAGTAATCATGAAAGCAATCAAGATTGAATATATCAACGATATAAAGTACATGTATACATATATAGTGTGTATATATACATATAAAGTTTTCGTTATTTAACGCGAATCTTTCAAGGCTTTCAGCCATCCACAAATTACCTACTTGGACTCCCTAGCGAAATTTCTCTCTGTAAATGATTTCTCTCTGTCCAAGTATGGTGGTAATGGACCAAGGGTAAAAAAGAATCTTATAAAAGTTCGCGCAACGCGGTCCCTCTTAAAGCGAGGAAACACTCTCACTTTGGATAACAACCATCCTCCAAGCACCATGACGAATCGTACGGATGCTCGTGTGACAACGTATCTCGTTTCTTGGCATTTTATTTCGTATCGGTAAAGAATATAGTCCTTTTGCGATATTCATGAAAATCTAGAAAAGAAATCGTGATGCGTGTACACCGTTCGCACCTTACCTCCTCCCGAGGATGGCAAAAGCGGTAAACCTCTCGACACAGCCGGAAAGAGGACATAACATTCTCAAGGTGTAAAGTCGATACGGATGCTACGCGTGCGATACGTTTGAACGTTGTACGAAAAGGATCTAAGAGTCTCTGAAAGCTTGCTTGGAAGGCCTTTGCGAAGACGTAGGTCGTGCCTGAAAGTTTAATGCCCGTTTCAGTGTCGAGTAGACGTCGATGCTTTTCCCTCTGACTTTTCGTAATTTTAGCATCAGATTTTCGCTGACTTGAGCCGATCTCGCGATCTATTACTTAACGATGCCCGAGGCTGCGTGGCACCTGCTGCTTCATAAAGTGGCCGTTTTACGTGTAAATGATAAATTGGGATCGATGGATGTCAACGGGATAACCGTTTTACTATTATTTTGACAGTATTACTTATTGCTGGGCGCATACAGTCACGAGTATACTCGGAACTTCCGGTTTTCAATAATACACACGACGTCCCAAGTTACGACGGCTTTTCATCCGCATATAAATTCAATTGGACATATTTCACTAGTCACGGACATCTTGCAAAGTCCGGGCTGATCCTAAACTGCAATTGCGACGAGGAGCGTCGACGTGAACCTTAAGTGCGCGGCAATAAGTTTTATTCGGCAAAGTAGTTCGCATATTTGCATATAATTTCACTTGGACTCTCGAGATTCTCGGTTATGGGTTTTTACGATTGTGCTTGAAAGTATTCCTGATCTAACTCTCTATGCAGCGGGAAGTCACGAAATATTCAAATGACCACGATTACGGCGTCCGTTTTTTTCGGGGAATTGCCATTAGGCTGAACTTCCCGTGGATATGCTTATATACACACACCAGTGCTGCCATCTGTACTTGACCCTTAGCTATGTAACGTCGTCTTCAGGAATCTCTAGCAATTCTTTCGGGCAGCTGCTACCGAAGGCAGGTGGAGCACTTGGCGAGTCACGCGTTACGGCACTGATAGTAAAATCGAAATAACGACCTCCTCGTTATCGCGAAATTAGATCACGCGGCAGGGAAATTGCATTTCTTACGCTGAGAAACTCCCTATCGCCGTTCTCTTTATCCCTGTATACCCTTTCCTGTTCGGTCGCTATTCCTTGGCTCCAGTCTAGTACCGCCTTCTCCCTCTCCCTCTCTCTCTCTCTCTCTCTCACTCTTACTCTCACTAAAGTAATAACCGTCCCTCCTACCCCTGACACGTAACCTACGTAATTAGCCGCGAAACTTTCAAGGTTGAATACCCACCTAGAAAATAGTACCCGAGCCGTACGGCAGAGCCCGTAGAGGGCCGAAGCCCAGAGCCCGTAAGCTACTTAAGAGCATTTGCATGAAATACGATCGGCAGGAAACACCTACGGACGCCTTTCGTGCCGTAAAACATTTTGACGAGCACCGAGTTAGGTATGTACCTTTTCCACGGCTCAACTTTAACGTCGAGCCTGCCCATTTGCAAGCTAAGTTCTCAGAGTACCTCGAGAAGGTCAAACGTTTCAAGTTGGATTTTTCACTAGGAGCTACGACAGTCTCGAGTCAGCTATCCCATAGGAACTCCTCTTGCTTGTCTTCTTTGGAAAAAAAAAGGAAACTATTTACCTTCTTAAAGGTATACATTGATCTTGATACGGACCGCTGAGATACGATAGGAATAAATACTAGCTGGACCAAAAAAGAGATGCTGCAGTAGCAAGTGGAAAAGTCCGTATACGTGCATAGACATTTTTCTTCAACCCAAGGAACGAGTAACGATCCTGTCTTGCGCAAGGTGGACTCCAGTAGGTTTCACCCTATCCTAGCCGGAACTACGTCTGTGGGATGTGCCAGTCGTAAAACTAAAATATCCAAATACCCGAAAGACCACACGTCTCCGAGTAGTCAAGTTACCCTGCTGGTCTACCTAGTGACGTGGAGTTACGTCTGAGCAGAGAACGAACGTGTCTTTCGCCCAAGATATCACCACTATCCTGCAACGAAGTGTCCATATCTCGCTCAAGTTATACCCGTATCCCACTACCTTTATTACGTCTCGTAGTTTCGTCTCTGATGACTGCCGTATGCCGTAACACGCGTATATACTACGTATATGATAACCAGGAAGTAACGAAGCTCAAATTCAAGCCTTGTTGGACACTTACAATACATCACTCTCTCGAGCAAATAAGGCAAATGTATAAAGCCTGTTGGCACGTAGGAACTCTGAGTCGCTTATCTTCTCACCTCTGCGCCTCCCATTCTTCATGCTGCTTTAAGTATCACGCTCGTGTCCGTGACGGGGATGCTTAAAGATGCGAAAACACACCCCTGACGATAACTTCACTACGGAACTGTTAAGGGTTGCGATTTGTAAGTGCTTCCGTCATTATCACTGTGACCACCCCAGGAATACCGAATGCATCACTAAATGTTCACCAAGCGAATTCGACATGGTAGGGTAAGTGAAGTAGTAGTGTAAGAAATTTTGAGATACCTATGTCCGTCCTTGTCTTACGCATATAAGTGCGCATGGGTATGTCTCTCTCGCACTCATGGCAGGTATAGGAAATTAGAAAATTTTCGTGAAAATAACTTCTTTCGATACGCGGGTCCATTTATCGTGTCCTTAAAGAGACTTCGTCGTAACGTCTTTCCGACGCCTCCGTTTACAGTGGTCCTATACACGATCTTGGCTATCGTCATCTCACCGGGACTGAGAGATGGCTGATTACAGGAGCCCGAATAAATCGCAATGTTTAATTGCGTTTGTCACAAGCTTATCCCGTGGTATCTATCCTTGTATGGGGTGGCTGTGCAGTAACAATGCTGGGATAAATTGACCGGTAGGCGTCCCAGACCCACTGAGTAAGAGCGGCTATAAAGTGATCCTATAAGGAGAAGCTGCCCCAGGTGGCCAGTTAGCTGCTTAACCTTAAAAATATATGTTCCTCCACTCCTCGCAGACTCCGCCACGCTTCTCAGAGGTATCCTCCCACTTTCAGTTGGCCTCCTCCTTAACCTTCTGAATCTATACTCCCACACGTCCATTTATCTATCCAGAGTGCAGGTTTATTGTGATTTACGTAAGTCTCGGAGTAAGAGGGGAAAAAAAAGGAAAAAAAAGTGATCGTTGTACCTCTCAACCTATCCAGCCGAAATCCATGGCAATTCCATCCCAGAGGTACCTTGAGTACGTATAGAGATTCTTCTCTCCTCTGGATTCTTCTTATTTATGAGGTTCTCTAGTTAGATACGTTATTGTAGTACTGAAATGTATTCCGCCCGATATCTTCCTTCTGAGGAATTGTAACGGCTGAAGTGACTCCTACCTCGCCGGAAGAAATTAAGTCGGCACTATACCCGTGCTGAGATGCATAATTTCGTTGGATTTTCGTATAACCTTACCCCGGGACTATACCGATCTCTCGCTGTTTGTCCACGATTCACTTTGTTTTTCCATTTTACCATCTACCCAGCTACCCGGCGAACCGCACAAAAAAGTCAACAATTCACGGGCAAACAAGCCAACGTAAATTCTCAGCCTTGTCTCGGTATTATTCAGGCTTAGCGGATGCCACTTCTGAGCTCGGGGAAGAGACTCTGGTACTGGATGCAAACAAACGCTTTTAATCCGTTTAACATAAATATCGTACTGTTTAATTAAATTGAAGCCGAGACCGTCGTTATTGTCAAGGGAAGTTCCTTCTCGGTGCAGCTTTGACTTAAGTGTATTTTCAAGTACGCGTATTATCCGACCGCCATAATCAAACTTGACGAACGTGACATCGATAACGTTATTACAGGCACCGAGGGTTTCCTATCTATTTGCATTAGAGTCTATATACGGACATTCGTAAAAATTGGGAATTAGTTAGACGGTAATTCTCATTAAGGATTTACTTCGCAAATACACGCTCGGGTTTTGTTTTCAGAGCGAAACTACTTAACTTCCCGTCTTAATTATTCAGCTAAAAGCATGAGGAAGATTCCTCCTAGTATAACTACACTAAAATTTACGGATACTACCTGCTCCTGATAACCTCGTGAGAGCTTTCTCGTAATTATAATTCAAAAAGTATTATTAATTTATCATCCTGTATAAATATTGTTTACGGTCATTATTGTCTGAGCGCAATGATAATATCTCCCTTTTATTTGTCAACAGGTAGACACACCGGACAGCGTGTTACAAAGTGGCCTGGGTCTAGGACCTGATATGGGACATACGATTCTTCGGTCAATGGTCGATCCAAGGGACTACGATCGATTGAGATATCTTCAAATGAACGGCGGTCAACCAAACAGTTTCGAAGAGACCATACACAGGGTACGATATAGTTGAATCACTATGGATAGAAGTACATGAGCCTCACCCATAGACCACAGGCGCATCAATTTCACTGCCAATTGTAGATGCGCGCGGTCGCACGAGCCGTCATGCCAAATTGTCCCGGAGAATAAAATAAAGGAGAGCGCCGTCGCTCTCGAACTATACAGAAGCGTCCATTAATACTGTCCGCAAGGTTCCTTTATCGATCTCGTTGCGTAACCACGTGGCACGTTAAGATTTTTATCGATTTTTTATTATCACCCTCGGAATTTCCCTCAGCATCTGGCTAGCTCCTTTTTACTCAGCTTAACCACTTCGGCTTTAATATTTCTTTTCGTCTGCCAATCTGTACCAGGATTGGTCCCGCTACTCACGTCCAGGAAAAATTGATCTTATACACTTTCGTCTGGCGCAAGCCGAACTAACCTTCCGAGAGGACGGAAGTGACGTAGAGCCGGGTCCTCGGCAATCTCACAATTCGAAATCCTCCAATCTTAACTTTCGCGATCGCGACACCCCGTAAACTTTTCCTCCGGAGTAGTCGTCCGTCCTAGTTTCCATCGAACGAATCCGGGTGACCGTGTTATAACTTTTACGTTCGCCAATGTTTTTTGTTTTCCTTCCCACGTACGATCCTCGTTGGTCAACGGTTCGGAAGCTGTGACGGTAAAGCGTGCGAAGAGGATGGACCACTCGCGAGACGCAATCGGTTTATTATGGCACCCTTTTTTTTACTCTCCCTCATATACAGGGTGCGGCAAGCCGCAGTTATCGCTGACCCTCGGCCAACGGGACCGCGGGCTCACACTTTTTCGGCATTTGTCCCTTTATCGCGTTACATAATGGCCCACTTTTTACGATTACCATAAATTTCCCTTTTACTCAGCACCTCTCGGACGCCTGCACATTATACCCGCCTCACCTTCCTTTCCAGCGGTATATACTCTACGAACTGCGATTTCTGTCCATTTCTCTCGGTATCCGGTTCTCTGCGTTACTTCGCTATCCCTTCGCCATCCTCTGCCCTGCTTGCCCCTCTCGGCGACGTTCTTGCTGCACGATAAGAGACGGTAACAAATTGAATTTAGTCTTTTTTACGATCTCTGCCTTCCGTGTAATTCGCTGACTGCTCAGTTATTAAATACCGCTTCCTGCCACTGGATTATGCGGTTAACTTGCCCCGCGACTGCCACTTTCGATCGTAAAAAGGCATAGCGATGGGTTCACTTTGAGCGTGATATAAAAAGGGGAAAAAAAAGTTATTGAGGTAACACGCAAATTTCATACCGACTTGAATCTACGAGGGACAAAGTTTAGAAGTATACTGGAACAAATTGCAATGCACTGAGTTTAATTTGATCTTTCATATTACTCGTGGTACGTATGTTCCAGCTCAAGGTCCAAGAGGCACTAAGGAAGAAGGAACGTTTTCACAAAGAGCACGAGGAGGTGAGTTCGCTCTTCTGTACTTTATAATTGGCTTCTTCCCGAAATTATAGGAACAACGGAAAACCCCGAGTACGTTACTCGCATACCTTCCACATTGTAGAAGGTCGTTAAAAAATAATTCTTTTCGAAACTGGAAGACATTTCTTCCACTCTGTATATCCGACTTGCACGTCTATACCCTGTGCACATGAAATAGAATACAGACACGAGCTTCAAGGAGTAGGTATTTTTCGTTATATCTCGACAACTCAATATCTCTTTAAAGTACCAAATTTCAATAGCGCAGCAGGTTGCGCATATTTCTATATATATTTCATAATACATAAAGTAGATCCATTTCCTGCGGGAGGTCCTTTCGCGTCTCCTATAGGAAAACTTGTAGAAGCGATATGTACATATATACAAACTCACGATGAAAGAAGCTAAAAGATAAAAGCACAGATTACCAAAGTATAGTAACAGAAAGTAAAAAAATATACAGTGAAAAGGAGAAAAAGAAGAAAGACGAAATTTCATATGGGCAGCACGCTCGAGAATCGCGTGGGGATTACTACAGACTGTAACTTATGAGTGCATTCTATCAAGCCCCTTACCTCGGCGCGCAATCGCGATTAACGAGGCTGTAGCTATGGAGCTGCTGCTCGTTCGATTGACGAACCGAAGAAAAACGAGCCCAGGAGGCTTTATAACAGATAAAGCCCAAAAATGGAATAACCGCGGAACGAAATTTGCATACGTGTGCTTCTCGGATGGAGCTTGACTCTCGGCGCCTCTTATTATGCAAAGTAGTACGATCAGGTGATATCATCATAACCAAATGCGTACCTCGTGAATTTCTTATGCGTGACGTCACGACTCGCTAAACGTAGTTTACTTACCCTTGGCAATCCCTATACGTCCATATATATCATATGTATATACGCATTCAGTACCTAGCTCCATACCTACATACCCATATAGGAAAAAGTACAGAGGATTCGATACGGAATTCTCGTTCGACTGAAAATTTTCGCTCGATAAGGTATTAACGTGAAAGAGTTAGGGGGATTGGTGGGCGAGTGGGGAGGTGGGTGAAAAGAAATAAAGAAATCTAGAAACTCACGGAGAATTAAAAGGACGCTACTATATACTTCTTTCCACTCGTTTCATATACTATAGTTTTATACTGAATCCCGGTAATGGGGAGACATAGAAAATTCAACAGGATTTGAACGTACTGGACTTGGATTCGCGAAAGAGCTTTCGGGTAAAACCAGAAGTTTCTGTAGGATATTTTTGGAGGTGCGCGAAGGAGGAGCCGGTCAAGGATTTAAGTGCATGACATGGATGGAAAGAGATCATCCTGGATTATCCCCTAGGGCTCCTTCTAGCACGGGATAGCAAAGTTTGTCATCCGACTCGCAAACACCTACGGAATATTTTCAAACCGCCGGCTTACTCTTTTCCAAATTTATCTCCACTGTGTAATGCTTTGACTAAGTAACGCTCAAAGCATGCATATATGTATACACACGACATAAAAAAAGTATTAGAGACTGTACTAATGGATGGCGCAAGTCGATGAGACTGTATCTCGAGGATCTTTCTTTTTTATTCTCCTTTATCATATATACATATATATTCCCTGCGTCTCCTTCTCGTCCAAAGGACCAAGTCTCGACGTAGAAAAGCCTCACGGCTATACGCGACTTTAGGAGCAAGCCTGAAGAAATTGGCTGAAACTATCAGCTACAAAAAAAAAAGTTATCTTTGAGGCTACAAGCAATATGGAAATAAAGGTTGGTGTCCCTGTAAAAGTTTTAGTGTCACCTCTGCCGCAGGTTTACGGTTCCCCCGAGGGCCACTCCTTTCTCTTCGTCTCTCCTCTCCTCTCCTGTCCTCTTCACTCCATTCCATTCCATTCCTCCTCATCCCCATAGTCACCGTTGCGCCCTTACTCTTCACTGCCGACTTCTTTTCTCGGTACCCAAGACTGAAAAGCGACGAGCAACCTCATACCGACCTCATACCCCCGTCATTACCTCAGCCTTTTTTACCAGGTACTTCCAAAAAATACTTGAGCAAAGCTACGGTCGTCTTCCTTCGCGTCCCTTTTCGTGGTATCATCCACGGAGCCATCGCACGTTCAACCTCGATAATCATAGCTTTCTAAAATACTTGCCGTTCATTTTACCTTAATCTTTTTTTTTTCTCTAAAAGAGAAGCTAAAAAAATCTTTCAACCTTACTCGTTTCACCTCTCCTTCAAAGCTTTTCTTTACGCTGTTTCGCCGGCACGAACCTTTTTGTTTTCCTTGTCCTTTTTTTTTTGAAACCCTTCTAACATGCCCGTAATTTTCCCGCCTGCACGATTGCCAACCGCGCCTTTTATTCTTCGTTTTTGAAACCATAAAAGTGCAGAATGGCTGGGCGACCTGCGTCGAACTTCTTCCTCCTCAATTTCTTTCTCTCGAGTCCTGCCATCTCTGTCTCAAGTCGCAATAATCCCATTGTTTCCGGATTCTCCCTCAGCCTTCCTTCCTCCCTCCCCTTCTGGACCCACCCTTCAGAACCTCCCTTCATCACCCCTTGTACTCCATTCCTAACCAGGTTTTCACGACGTGCCTGATTCCTAGCCACGTCCGCGTCTGCGTCTCCTCCTAAGTATCAGGACTGTTTTTCTCCGTCGCGACGACAGACCTCATAGGGGGACTTGTCTCCATTCCGCCTATCTTTCTACGCTAAGTTATTTCGGTGTCCGTCCATTACCAGGCAGCCTAAAAGGTCCCGATACGGATCCTCATGACTCAATGGATCTCAAATGACTCGACAGCTCATATCGTTCTGACACATCCGTTTCTTGTTCCTGACCACCGAGGACAAAGAAAAGGTTTTACTCACAAACCGAAAAAAATCTAAACGATTCTTAAAACGTCTCAATTCCGAAAAGTAGGTAGTCCCACGTGTCGATAGTTGCACTATCAATGATCGGTACTGCTTTTAAATAATTACTATATACCTAGATAACCGTAAAGTCACCAACTTATTATTCTGTTTCAGATACTAAGAGACATACGGCAAGGTTTAATGCAGCTGGGACGAGACGGAAGAGGTCAGCTCCCCGGAGGTTAGTATACTCAACCTCTTGACCTCTGGCTACATGCACGTTTATCACAGAAAATGCTTATTCTCCATGGTACATTCCTTCGCGTGCATCAAGGATTATACACTTTGCGTAATATAGTTTTGAATAATAACATACCGAAATTTTAAAATAGCTTACGGCTCAATTGTTCAATAATTCGCACCATCGATTTATAGAAGTCGACTCCATGAGTACATCCAGCCGGTTGTTTTCTTTTTGTTCCTCCAGGCACGATAGACGGCGCGAAACCAAATTAAAGCCGAGATTAGCGTAATGAAACGGATAGAGTAGAGCGCTACGACACGAGCGGGCTCTTAAAGTTTATTGCCGATTTATCTTCAGTGTAGGATTTATTTGCCACGTGATTGTGTGACGACGACGCATATACGCCGAGTGAAGCCCCTCGTATGCTGCTAATCTCGTTACCGTAAACACCCGTCGTGTCCCAGCCACCCTCAGAGCCTCTACACCCTCTTCGTACATCACTCCCAGAGTATACGGGGTTACTCCTCTCGCTACTGGGAATCCACCTACCACCTTCGATACACGTGGCTCAATATACCCTCTCACGCATCGCGTATTGCCTTCGACATATATGTATACTATATACATACCAACCTACAACCTACACCACATGTTACGGGCACCCTTCGGGTCTTCGGATCTCGTGCTTTGAATTGCGAATTGCATCCACCCCGATACTCTACAACAGTCGTATAATTGATTCGTTAAAATTGGGGGACAAAAAAATGTTAGACTGAGGTTGCAAATTTTGTTCAAAAAATCTAAATATTTTTACAGATGACACTTACATGTACGACGAGGACGCACGGTGTGGAGGGGCTGGTGGTCTAGGACCTGTTTCAGGAGATCAACATTGGTATGACGAACCACCCTCTGAATCCGATCCCGAAGAGTTCCTCATGGGAGCCAGTGGTGGTCCCGTCCCTACGGCGACCATTCAAAACGGAAGGTAAACTTCGTACGAATCCTCGACGTAAATCCCATCCACCCTTGAAATTTCTACGACGTGTATTCTCACCCTTGCCCACTACGATTTTAGGGTGTGCTTCACTCTTAACCTTAGACCGGAAAACAGGGGCGAGGGAGTGATCTCGCTCAGGACCGCAGGCGACATCAGTCTCCCGCGGGATCGCTCCCGAAAACCCGCCATGTCCACCATGCGGGGTCTCATAGTTCCTCAGGGTCACAACAACCCTCCGACCATCATACCCCTTACGCATTCGAGAGCATCCCGCGAGAGCGGCGACTACGCCAGCAGCGACGTTCAGGTCAGTCGATCCAATCAAACTTTCTCGTTTCTCCCAAACTCCGATCCCCCTCTCTCCCACATACATATGTATGTACGAGGGGATACACTCTATTTCAAAAGTATGAGAAATCTCGTGTCTCGCCATGTAACATGAATCTTTTTCGTATTTTTTTCATTATCGTTGTTATTATTATTCATGCTCAGGCTTACTAGCCAAGCCATCAGACATGTAATTTGTAAAATAGGTAACGGCACTCTGATTACCTTCGCTTTGTCGAATGAAAAAAATCGACGACGAACACGAGGCAATTAACCGTGACCTACCCTGTCGTCTTTGCCTCTGTCGCTAATCCAGTGATAATGACGTCCCCAGACACTTGGAAAGTTGCATTCTGAAGTAAAAGAACGCCGGGGTTCGTTCTGAAGTTTGTCGAGGTTCTGCCTGCCGATTAAGGCCAGTGACTCGGCAACTGGCCGAACTGGTCGAGAAGTCCCCTTGGGTGCATGGGGGCGATCAATTTGAAAGACGCGAAGAATTCCACGAAGAGAGTTTATAAGATTTATTACACGAGTGCATGAGAGTCTATCTGACCCAGTGAAGGAATGATTCTTCCGAGTAGCATGATACTGTAGTCTGACTCTCTCTCTCTCTCTCTCTCTCTTTGTCCAGTAGGATAACCTAATATACGCTATATAGCGATACCAGTGAAAGAGACTATGGAAGAAGGAATATACGGAACGTAAAGATAAGAAAATTCGAAATAATATTTTGAATGATCGATTATACGATGAATATTCGAAATTTTTAAGATTTCAACTCTAACGATGCGTGTACCTTCGACCCTTGACTTTTTTTTATCTCCATGTCTTACTAATTTTCGTGTTAATTAATAGTGCCCTCCTGTTCGCATACGAACGTAATGATTTTATGTGTTATTTTGTTCTTTTTTTTTTTTACTCCTTATAATTTATCTCCACGGGCTCTCGACCTTGGCAACGCGACGACTGTATCACGGCTTCCCGGGGGTGGTCCTGATTTATTTAATTTGGGGGATGCAGAGTGTGAGCTCGAGACTGTCGACTGTGTCGGTGGACACGAGTAGGAGCGACCAGCTTCCTCTAGGGGGTCGCCACCCTGAGCACCCTACGAGCCACGAGCACCATCACCACCACCATTCGGTATCACCCCGACCCAATCAACGCTACCCTGCCACAACTATCACCGCTACCACCACCACCACCAATAACGTCACTACCAACGCACCAACACCACCGCCACTACCGCCATTGCAACCCGCGACGCGCGCCATTCCCGGATATGTTCGTATTTGCCTAGTTGTAGACATTGCTCGCTACCGCAAATCCATACTAACCCACTTACCCTATACCTGAACAAATATCAACATCTTCAACGGGAAGTGAGAGATTCCTTCGGATTGGACGCAGCCACGTTCTATTCATCCCTCATGAATATTTAGTCTTTCAATGAAGAACCATATACGTACTGTAGCTACACAAATATATATATATATATTTATATAGCTACATCTTTCCTCCAGACCATTAGATTTTCACGTGATATACAACACCTGAGCTCTTGTCGCTACGCAGCATCCGGGAATAGCTCTTGCTAAAAGTATCATCCTATCTTGTCCTTGGATCAATTCTGAAGTCGGTTTAACGAACCGAGAGAAAGATTCTGTCGCGAGTCACGAAGGAAGATCCTGACCTCCATGAAAATTCTAGGGGATTACTACGTGTATCAGGGGTCGAATCTTCGCTAGGGGTTTATTGTGACAATCAGTCATGATTGTCAAAGCTTTTGGTACCCTTATTGACTTTTTCTCATCACTCTCGCTCTCTCTCTCTCTCTCTCTCTCTCTCTCTCTCTCTCTCTCTCTCTCTCTCTCTCTCTCTCTCTCTCTCTCTCTCTCTCTCTCTCTCTCTCTCTCTCTCTCTCTCTCTCTCTCACGACACAGCACTGACAGTATCTTACTCACACGACACACCAATATTAAATATATCGGTCTAACCCACTATCTTTTTTTGTTCTTTCGTCAAAACCATAGAAACAGTTGATACCTCTGTATATCTAACGCCTATTATATCTTTCTTTGATGAAACCCCATATACCTGCTGCCTCTCGTTATATCATATACATATATGTACTATATATAACATCATTTGTACTATATACTATACATACATATATACCTATATATATTTTCCCTTAATGTAATGCACGATCGCCGTACTAATTGGTTCTCTCGCTCCTTTTCGCTCTGTTATTAATTTACGTAATGTCCTATCAGTCACACATGTAACAAAGTTCCTGTCGCTAATGCCGTGAATTGCGAACTAAAAACGAATAGCTCGATAGCCTACGAAGTAACGTGATTAGAACTGTTACGAGTATGGATTTTAGAGTCGGAGTAGCGGCGAGGAAGGATTGTCGCCGAGCCAGAGCAGCGACTACGAGGATCAAGAAGAATTAGAGAGTCAACATTCGGCGGCCGTCCATACAGTACGTGATCACAATCCTTGTTTGATCTTTGCTTTCCACCCTCGCACGAATCTAACGCTTGCACGAGCGCCCAGCTGTCTGGATCAATTTATTGTTCTTAAATCCCAAAGTTCGATGCATGTCAGAGATACCATAGAGATTTATTGTTTTTTTTTTGTTTATATCATCAAACCCAAAATCTGTGCTTGCATTGTCACTGTGCATTATGAATTTTATACCCTGTGTCCGTACGTTCCGAACACTGCTAAATTATTGTTTCAACAGAAAAAATACAACACGATCTTTTTGGCGAATTCTTTTCAGACCTTACCCGAACATACTCCCGATAAACAATTGTATGATACTATACTGCTGTCACACTTGCGAGGGTACACGGAAAAAGACTCCACCGACAAGTCGACCTCGCGCTTAAGAGCGATGCTCCGATATTTTTATTAATTCCGAGTGTTTTTGACGTGTTAATTAATTTTATTTATTTATTCTCATCTTGCATGATTTCGATTAGGAGAATTGAGAACGTTCACTTGATTTTTTTTTTCTATCGAGCAGTCACTATATTTAATACTTTTGGTACGGACGATACGTATCACGGCACTTCGTCATGATAATGGATGACGGAATACAATCGGCAAGGAGAAACCGTTCTCGATCAGGCGCGCAATTAAAATGACTGTATTACTTGAACTTCTGATCTTGCTATTGTAGTCGGAAGCGAGCGCATTGCTGGAGGGAGATGCCAGAGCAGGGATAGCAGGAAGAGCGAGAAATTTGAGGCACGACGTGCAGCGTAAAATTTCGAGACTTCGACAGGACAGAGCGTCGTCGGAAGCTTTTCCCTGCAGCGCAAGTAGCGTAGAGAGTCTTCCCAGTGGAAGTGGTTCCAGTACGCAAGCCTTGGTACGAGCCGGAAGTAATCATAGCTCTATATCCTGCGAGGATAGGGATGCCATCAGTCCAACGTCAATTGGTCCTGTTCTCTGTAGAGCGAGAGCACTCGTTGATTATACGCCTAGTCCTTACGACAAGGACGCTTTGAAGTTCAAGGTTTGTGTCTTAGATATCGTTACGCCGTGGATGCCTTTTATGTAGATTTATAGGAGTGGACGAGAAAGAGATTTGATCATTGGACTTTATGTACCACTTGGTTATTATTTTGTTTTTTATTTTAGAAAGGAGACGTCATCGACGTTGTTCAGATGAACACGAGCGGGCTCTGGAAGGGCGTAGTAAATAACAGAATAGGACACTTCAAGTTCATAAATGTGGAGATTTTGAACGAGAGGGTACCGAGAGACCGACGTGGGGAATCGGAACGCGGAAAGTGGGGTCAAAGGTACAGACAGAAGCCTGGATCCGTTGAAGAGCTCTTGCAAAGAATGAATCTTCAGGTAGGGAACAATATCTTTTATGTAGGGGCTAGAACGTCATAGAGTCCCATTCGCATTGTTTCAAATGCAAACTAAGTATTCTTTTCGATCTGAGCATATTTTAGGTTCAAGGATGACATGAACGCGTTCGTAATCTACCGGCGAATTAGTTTTCTCTTGTGATAGTTTAGAAGTGGATGGAGAATTTTTTTAAAAATTAATTTCACTCTTGATGCGATTTATTACTGTCGTTTGTGCAGGAACACATTTCTGTGTTTGTACTAAACGGATACGAGGACCTGGAACTGTTCAGAGAATTGGAACCAGCGGATCTTGATTACCTGGGCATTCATCAGCCGGAACATCGCGCTAAGATACTCACAGCTGTTCAGTTACTTCATGATCTACAATGTGAGAATTAGTTAAAAATATCTAAAGCGACTTTGTAGAATGTTTAGGCGTTTTGGACTCTGAAAAATAGTTTGTACCGGAACACAGGAGCAGATTACATTGTAAAATTTATCTTGTTTCTGCTTCAGCTGGAAGCGAAGGGGACTTGGCCTCTAGTTCCGAAGGGGATGAGATTAACCGGCTGGCTTTAACCTCAGGTCAAACTTCCGGGCATTGCTCACCGTTCAGCAGGCGACAATTCCCTCGTGACTCCGGATGTTACGATGCTCATAAGAACTCTACGAGACGCAACATAAGCCCGGAAACCAAGAAGCTGACAAGGGAGAACAATCTCGACACGACTTCCCAGAACAAATGTGGTGAGAATCCTCTGATAGAGTCGAAAGACGATTTTCACCCGAATATACCAATTTCGAGTGGTATTCAGAAGGAAACTCAGTTCGAGAAGTCACCCCTGTTACGAGGCGGAAATGTCAGGTTCATCGCGAAGAGGGGTAACTTTGGTGAGACTGTCGTCATCGAGGATGCCTGCGAAGGTAGCCATAAACTCAGTATGGTGAAATACGTCGTAGGCGGAAGTTCCGACCTGGGCCTTGGTTGCGAAAGCGGAAACGCATCCGCCAGTCTCAGCCAGAGAGGCTGTCTCAGTGAGAAATCAAGCGACTCTGGCGTGAGTTCATCTAGTCTTAGCTCGGCACCACCCCCTAGAGACAAAGCACTGGTGGCCGCTGTTGCTTCGGATTCTCCAACCAAGAACTTTGGCAACTTCAGTCGCGGTTCGCCCACGTCGCAGGGATCTGGGAATAAGAGTCAACCTAGCGATGCTCCGTTTCAGTAAAGCGGAGAAAAATAATAGAGAGAAAAGAAAAATAAAACCCTTAAGAACAAACGTATAACGGCTACCTACGACCCTTCGAGAAAGGTACGCCACTGAAACTTTTGGGTTTAAAGTGTGCCGACTGAATGGGGAATGACGAAATTCTAAATAGCTGGAACCTGATACTTATTGATCTGATGACAGCGTGCGGGGACAAAATATACAGGTAGGAATTTAAAAAATAAAAAGTCCCTCCTCCAAATCAACACGTGGAGGGTTCGTAAGGGTTTCAAAATGTTATCCATGGGAGAACAATAAGTTATATGACGTTACGTCCCGAAGCAACGATCTGTAGAAACGTTATTATTATTAGCCAGCGTCCGTTATATTACAGCAGCAAACTATAGAGACTGTTAATTAATTGTCAAAGAGAGAGTTACACGTTTAATACCTTCGGCGTTTATTACCCAATCCCGTAACTACTCTCTCAGGGCGCTCGGACCTCATCATCCAATCCGAAGCTTCGCCGATCGTTCACCGAATAATAATCGTCTAAGTAAGTTCTATGTGATACGATAGCAATAGATTAATCAAAGAAGTAGGTAGTAACGATTCGCGAAGTTAATGAGCGTCAATCAGATTCGCACTTGGACGCAAATCGAAGTGCAAAATAGAAGAAATTGAACGATAGTTACGTAACTTTATGTTTGACGCTACTGAAAGAAGTAAAAGGTTCGTTTTAATTATTTCTCTCTTGGCTCAAAGCCAAGCTGAAATATCTGAATTAATAAAGTCATTAATATACAATTCTGAAAAAGATATCAGAATAGTTTCACGCAAGAAAATGTACAGTTAAGCATTAAACGCCTCGAATACTCATGTGTTATGTGTATGTAAAATTTTTGGAGCACATAATTTTCTCATGATTTTTTTTTTCCGCAAACGATAAGTCAATCAGATATTATCGCATAAGAGTGTAAAGGTCTTGGATGATATGTAAATTAGTAGAATCGATAAAGAAGCTGCATGCATTGATATCACAGCATATGAAGTGCGTATGGCTAATGACGACCGACAATCTCCACCATTGCCATAATTAGTCCTCCGATGCGATGGTGAATTGTAAGATACGTGTACATTGACAATTACGGGATGATTGAAAGTTAATGAGAAGTTTGTAAATAGGTATATAATTATACATAGAATACAGGTACCCATAGTGGACCTAGCGATGTTTTGTATCGAACCTACACCTTTGCCAAAACTTAAGATTAGAGTAGGTATTATAGGTATATACAACAATGTTGGATCTTGTGTACATCTTTGTATAGTGTAAAATGATACTACGACCGTAGCGATTGGCGCAAACTAATGCGAACGAGAAGAAAAAGAAAAAGTGGTTGTAAAAGAAGTGCGGAGCGAAGTTGTATGAATGCGAAGCGAGAGATATGTAATTCCTGTAGTAAATATTAAGGAAACAAAAAAGAGCCGTAGGAATCACATTAGGCCGTGTACATATTAGAAACACCCGCATTCTAAGCACACGATTCAATGATCGACTCACCTCGAAAGCAATGAACGTTATGTAATTAATTAAGGGTTAATTAAAGGATGCATGCCACCTCTCCATCATTATCTACATACGTAGGTTAATAAATAAGATACATGCTTTCCAACGAGTCCGTCGCGCCCTTTTGCTGGCTGCCACTTCGTCATTATGAAGCTCGGCCGGTCGATTGCATCGAAGAACCAAAACGTCGTGATCCTTCGATAATTTTATTGATCGAATTTCTTTGTCAGGGATCGATAACTGTATCAATCGTTAATAATTTTCGCAGTCTGGGCGATGCTTTCATTATTGCGCAGGCGCCTCAGCTTAACGACACACTGTCCACACTGCCACATAAAAATCTCAGCCAAATTCTGTATATATATATAGTGTTACAAGTTTTTCATCCCCCGTTGACGGGAGATCATTAACATTTTGATTGGCGGCGAGTCGGGGGATGGGAAAAATGTTGTAAAGAAAATTGATACAAGAGGGGAGCAAAACGTCATAGATTTTTACCAATTTAATATTCGAGCCACCGTAGAATCCGATGAGATATAATATTAATATTAATGGATACCTACAATTTGTTAACGACGTACGGGCTTCGGTGATATTGCTGTAGATTATCCGTTCCATTAAGTAAATAGAGTGTGTAGAAGGAGTAAAATGTTAATTAGTAACGAGTTTATGAGATACATACTATTAATAGAGACAGTCGTGATTTTATTAGCTCGGACGATACACAGCATTCAATGTAAATTCACTCTACGTAGACCTAATAGCGGTAACCGAATTAGATAAATTAAATGATTAAAGTTAGTCAGGAAATTTAAATGATAATTATTCCTAAAAGAGGCTATAAGTCTGTTCTAATTCACATACTGCAAACGAATGGAAACAAAAAAACACGAAGCAAAAAAAGAAACGAAGAATTGAAAGACGGTTCGAAGACGAATCGTAAGGGGCTAAATGAGAATGATGACGCTGATGACGATGATAAAGTTGCTAATTGCCTGGCATAAAATTTAATTAGTTAGTGGTCTAGTCCATTATTGCGAAGTAACGATATTGTACATAAAAATTTAGTGACGAACATCGCGCGAGAGTCACTAAACTTTTTATAAACTGATTTTGTATTTATTGATTAATTGCGGGGTTAGAGGTTACAATTATAATTCCTTCTCTTTTTTTTTCGTATCATTTCGAACGATAACTGTTAATTTATTGACTGTGAATAGAAATAAACGATGGAAGAATAAAAAAGAATGTCACTCATTTACGTCATCACAAACAGGATTCTTTCAGCAACGCCATTCACGCCATGTTGGAAAAGTCAATACTCCAAGAAGTAGGTTTCTACATTGATTCAAGCGTCTTTCTTTCTTTTTTTTTTCATAAGTAAGATATATCACAGATAAACAAATGTAAATTGCATGCAGGATAAAACTGATCATTTCGGTAGTAAACCATATAATAATGTCGGTAACAGTCGCAAATCAAAAGCAATATTATATATTTTCAGTCATTTATTCGGTGACAACTTCACCACCCTAATCAACGGTTTCTGTACTTTGCCCAATGTTGCGAAGTTGTTCCACAAACATGAGAAACCAAGCCTGTTAACTGGGATTGTCGAGGCATTAAGGAGAAGAAGTTTAGGCATGACAAATGGTATGTTTCGTAGCTCCCGTTGAAACCCAAAAGTCAAGTTTGAAGCGTCAGAGTTAGAGCCTACCGTTGAAAAGCCTATAGTAACTATAGTAACTATAACCTTAGCACAGTCGGAAACAAAAGTGATAACTACACGTTGAATAATATTCCCTCGGCCAGACTAACAAAAAGGACTGAAATAAAACACCAACGAGCAATCTCATTCATAATAACAGTAAAACCGAAAAGTCTTAAAACTTTAGATTTCACCTCAATATATATTTATAAATTAATAACGAAGCAACCGTTCTTAGGAATTTAACTGCCTCCTCTTATCTCTATACGTACCCATAGCAGCATTGCATTATTAACAAGTATATGAAAATAACCTAACCTAACTTCCTATATCAATCAAATTCGATATTAATAACGCTTCGATTCCTTCGATATTTCCAATAAATTTTACATCATCGAGTGAACGATGCACCGTCAAAAGCCTCCTCCGTATACAACAGTAGTAGAGTATACGGAGTAATCGTGACGCAGTTATTTGTTCGATCGCGAGAGACCCTGTTATCAGTCTCCGTGACGTTGTCTTTGTTAACGCATGCGCGACGTGAAATTGTCTATTAGTTAACGCGAAATAATTAATTACTCGACTCCTAATTAATCGGTGCGAATTAGCTTTATGCGTATTGCTCGCAGGGAAACACGCGAGTACTTCCACTTCAATGTTTGTATACGTACCAGCACTGACTGCGAATCTAGTCCGTACTGAATATTCCGTGGCGTGAAAGTAACCCTGGTATATAACTATATCGATGATTACTTCATCTTCTGCTTCGCACGCACGTTTTGCTGGACGCGTGTATTTGCCTTACGTGCAATTATACTTATTGGTATACGAGCTCGTACGAGGTAGAACCAATAAAGGGTAAGTAAGTAAACGTTATCGTGTTGAAGTAATAATTACAGGATGGTCAGCACGCGTTGAGATATTGCATATTGGAGGATAATGGTAATTTATTGTAGCTGATTTTTTTTATATTAGTTGGAAGCTGGAGAACTATTACTGAGACACATAAGCCGTTGCAGATCGATTAGACATATTGATTGGACCATGATAGTAATCGGGGATGATTTGATAAAAAATATTTATTACACCAGGGCAACTATATCACGCGTTACGTTACTGAAGATGCTGTACACCTCATACCATACAATCTGTTTATATCGTATAAAAGTCTCGGAATTTTATTATATGATATATATTATAGTACAGATTGCATGAAAAATTTAATAAAAATAATTGCACGAATATAATTATACAATATATCACGTATCACGTAGAGCCTCACAGTGAAAGGTACGTGTACCGGTATTAATTCTCAAAGGCTGTAAAAGAGCTGTATGAAAAACGGGTACAAGCTATTAATCTCTAACCTTCCCCATCGTATCTTATTATTAATTGAAAAACTATTCGGACACGTACAAAGTGCTGTCTGCGTATAACCCATCCACTTCAGAATAACCATCAGACTTAAGACAGGGAACCACTTGCGCAAAGCGCAGCCACTTCGAGTACCCAGAGTCATCGATTAATTTCATCCTTCCCTGGATACCGTACGAGTTCAGTATAACTATCATCAGTTTGTTTAACAGCGATATACGTTTGTAAACCAAGTTAGACGCCAATTATTACTCAAGTGTTTCAACTTGTTCCTGAAATCAAGTTGAGCCAGTGCAAACCTGAACTTGTCCTCAAAGGCATCTGGTGCGCCGGAAGACGACGGACACTCAACAAAATGTTTTGCACTATCAAGTTCACTGGCGCATAAAGTCAATCAACAGCCCTTGGGTAACAAGCAGGTTATAGGTACACGCACGGATGCTGGGGAAGTTCTCGAAAGTCTGGTACCATAAACATCTATAGAGATCATGGGACAAGAGTCATTGGAGAACATTGGAGAACAATAACTAGGCGGGCATCGATCGTCCCCGTGGAAACGCTGGGACAGCACATGGCTTCGTGGATCTCAGCCGTTAAGTGTAGTACATAGCTGTATATATAATATATACATACATTATGGTAAATGACAATAGCATATATACATGCATCCTTTATGCAGACTTGCCACTGAGAATTATATTTACTTACAGTGCACTGTCTCATCACTCCTCGTTACGAACAGGAACAACATTCCCATTAATATCGCGATAGAAACGCAGCGCGAAATGCGCCATAGATAACAGTTGAGGGTAGATAGGTACGTACGTAGATAGGGGTGGTTATAGGGGTAGGTGGGTACAGAGCAGTGCTTCGTTGCTTGGTATTAGTTCAGTATGTGTATTCAGTTAGGTAGGTATACTGACTCCCTGCCTATTTCGCAAATGAAGGCACCTATGTGTGTTTAGGTTAATAGCATGTCAAATGGTACATATATATATATATACAAAGGGGTTGAAACGCATCGGGTTGCACGTAGGTACCTATTTATTTATGTACTTGGCCTGACTCTCGCGCTATACTCCCACTTTCCCTCCCCCAACGTCATCCGCGAATTTACGAGGGTAGTTCCTGTTTGTCTTGCTGCTATCTCGAATCGCTGATTTTCGCGAAGGTTCCCGAAGGGATGAGGACTTCCACGTTTCCAGTATATAACCATGTCGTGGGTGGTGGGGCGAGGGGTGGGAGGACTCTGTGCGCAGAATGCGTTTCCTCTGTGGCTCCTTTTATCATGATCGTTTGCTCAGCCTATAAGACTGCCACCGAGTTTGTTCGCTCGAGTTGAGAGTTAAATTGGCGAAATCACTGATTTTCACTGGCGAAACCTTTATTCGCGTTAATTTGCATAATTTAGTGAGGCCAGGTGGTATTTACGAGCAATTAGCAGGTACGCGTAAGACGGTGGATTACCGATGGAAAATGCTTGGACCATTTCCATAAGTCAGAATTAGAATTGGCGATGATTAAAATTTTTCAACCTTTCCATTGATACATCTTCGTCATTAGGTGAGACCCACGTTAGATCTCTCGGAATTAAAGGAGTCGGAGCTTCGTATCGATAATTACATCCGATACGCCGTTAATTAGTGACGTTAATGGCCTTTAATTCGTGGCAACCCGTGACGCAGTATTTGCTCTGGCACGTTGCCTTTTGCGGTACTTCAACATTCTAATTAGATGGAAAACGGGCTTCCGATGTCCCGGACAAATTGTATGAAAGCTGTCTGATTAACGTGTCGATAGTGATAATTATTATTAATTAGGAAGACGTGTTAATCACTGGGTGGCTATTCAAATAACGTATTGGTTTAGAAATTGACGTGGATATATATGTATATGCTTTTTCATTCAAGCTATACAATTTCTGGTTATATTCGATGATACTAATATTATATATATGGCAGGGTATTCGTAAGGTATTTCCTCACATACATATGTGTACCAAACTGTATATATAAAGCATGTGGGAAGCACCTGCGGACTAATAGTACGACGAAGATTGGTTACCCGTCGTATTCAAGGTACTGAAATAAGTGCTCAAAGGAGATACAAGACAAGTCTCGGTTTTAAACGAGCCCTTCCCATTAATAACGTAGAGAGCATGCCGCTACGAGGGTTGCACCTATAAATCTATTTAACAGATGTAGGTGGGAGGTAATAGGTGGTAGTTGAGATGGAATGGATTCGAAATTGGATTTATATGACGGGTGATATCGTATGGTGAATTTTAATGGTTATTCAACTAAGGGATGAAAATATTTATTTTCTAAATCGAGTGATACCTAACCTCCCTTAACGGATTTTTTTCATTCCGAAAGACCACGAATCGGTACTTGTCTACCTACAACGTATCCTGATACCAGGAGCAGGAGATTCGCAAATATTTTAAGAACAAAAAAAGGACCGCATCGCGATAAAAAGGCGAATTCGTATCGAACAGCATAAGGAAAAGCAAGATAGCAAAACCATTATACAAAAATGATCAGTGATTCTATATATTTTAAAGTGTCAAAAGCAGTAGTCATATGTACAAGTAAATACAAAATTTGTATTTATATAGTAAAAATTGTATTTAATTTATTTATTATATCTTTTTTATTTATGCCACATTTAAGCTAATACCCTATTTCGAATTACCGTTATGCAAGCAGAATGCGTATATTCAAATAATGATGATGATACGTCATGGACACAGGTACACAAACAAATATGTATATGCACAACCATAATTGGTAGCAGTGGGAGTTGCTTGAAGGGCTCGCATATAGACGCAGAGGTGTTGTGTGATCTAATTGAGCGACGTGGGGCTGTTAGGCCGAGTACATAGGTCGGATTTTGACAAATTTCCCAAGTGTATATACGTAGGTACACATACATACAGTAGGTTACAGGTCGAACGTAGAAATAGATAACCAGCTGTGTTCAACCTACAGTCCCTTTTCAGTACTCTTGTTATATATGCTGTAGCATACAACATATATCAACAAAACCGTCGATACTTTGTTTCCATTAATATACAACCATTGGCAAAAGCGCTCGGCTTCCCACGAAAATTGTCGCAAATTAAACTTCTCCACGCCCGCATCCACAGCCAATGCATTTTCTCTATGCTGTACCCGATGT